AAGATACAAAATCAACATACAGAAATCTGTTACATTTCTATACACTAATAACAAAAGAGCAGAATGAAAAACAAAACAAAAAATAGCAGAAAGAGAATTTAAGAAAACAATCCCATTTACATAAAAATACATAGGAATACATTTATTGAGGGAGGTGAAAGACCTGTATTTTGAAAACTACAAGACATTAATAAAAGAAATTGAAGACTATACACATAAATGGAAAGATCTAGCATGATCATGAACTGCAATAATTAAATTTGTTAAAGTATCCATACTATGAAAATTAATCTTCAGATTCAATGCAATCCCTGCCAAAATACCAACAGCATTATTCACAGAAGTAGAATGAAAAATTCTAAAGTTTGTATGGAATCACAGAAAGCCCTGAATAGCCCAAGCAATCTTGAAAAAGAACAAAGTCGGATATCACAATCTCAGAATTCTATTTATACTATAAAGCTACAGTAATCAAAACCGTATGGTATTGTGACAAAAACAGACACATAGATCAATGGAACAGAATTAAGAGTCCAGAAATAAACCCATGTTTATGTGGTCAATTAATCTATGACAAAAGAGACAAGAGTATACAATGTTGGAAAGACAGTCTCTTCAATAAACGGTGTTGGAAAATCTGGATAACTATATGTTAAAGATTGAAATGAGACCACTTATAGTATACACAAAAATAAACTCCATGGATTAAAGATGTAAAGAGTTGAAAACATAAAACTACTAAAAGAAAACAGAAGCAGTAAACTCATAGACATCAGCTTTAGCAATATGTTTGGATATGTCTCCACAGGCAAGGGAAACAAAACCAAAACTAAACAAATGAGACTATATCAAACTAAGAAGCTTTTGTGCAGCAAAGGAAACTATAAAAAACAAAACAAAACCAAAAAGGTAACCTACTGAATGGGAGAAGATATTTCCAAATGATATCCAGTAAGAGATTAATATCCAAAATCTACACATAACTCCCACAACTCAACACCAAACAATGATTTAAAAATGGGTATAGATGGGGCGCCCGGGTGGCTTAGTCGGTTAGGCGTCCGACTTTCGCTCAGGTCATGATCTCGCGGTTCGTGGGTTCGAGCCCCGCGTCGGGCTCTGTGCTGACTGCCAGCTCAGAGCCTGGGGCCTGTTTCAGTCTGTGACTCCCTCTCTCTCTCTGACCCTCCCCTGCTCACGCTGTCTCTCTCTCTCCTAGAAATAAAAAAAAATAAAAATAAAAAAAAAATAAAAATAAAAATGGGTATAGAACCTGAATAAACATTTTTCCAAAGAAGACCTACAGATGGCTAACAGACAGATGAAAAGATGCTCAATATCACTAATCATCAGGGAAATGCTGATCAAAACCACAATGAGGTATCACCTCACACCAGTCAGAATGGCTAGTATCGAAAGACAAGAGCTGGAGCATCTGGCTGGCTCAGTCAGTAGAGTATGAGACTCTTGACCTCAGGGTTGAGTTTGAGCTCCACATCAGACAGAAATTTAAAAAACAACAAAATAGCAAGAGTTGGCAAGGATGTAGATGTGCACTATGACCAGCGCCCAGACCAAGAATAAAACGTTACCAAAACTTCACAAGACCCTCTCATGGTTTCTCTCAGTCACTTTACTAAACTCCTACATCCCTAAGAGTAACCCTATTCTAACTTATTAGGATTAATTTTGTCTTTTTTATTTTTTATAACTTTATAAGAGTGCATTTCTACAGTCTATACCATTCTGCATCTTTTTAAACTCAACATTGCTAAATTCAACTGTTCTGCTTGTAATATTTTCATTGGTTAAAAACATTTTTTAACCTTTATTTGAGAGAGAGCAAGAGAGAGCGAGAGAGCGCGCAAGAGAGTTGGGGAGGAACAGAGAGGGAGACAGATTTCGAAGCAGGCTTCAGGCTCTGAGCTGTTAGCACACAGCCTGACAGAAGACTTGGATCTGTGAACTATGAGACCATTATCTGAGCTGAAGATGTACACTCAATCAACTGAGCCACCCAAGTGCCCCAATATTTTCATTGTTATATTCTATTTTATGACTGTATCACATTTTACTGTTGATGGACATTTGAGTAGTTTGCAGTTTATGTTTACCAGCATATAGTGTTGGTAGGAATGTTCTTGTATGTGTCTTTTATGTATGTACTAGATTACTAAAAGTAGCACTAATGGTCATATGTTATTCCAACTTTAGTGGCTACTGTCAAAAAATTTTCCAAAGTGGTTGCATCTATTTACACTCTTCAGTATTGTATGAAAGTTCCAGTTGCTCCATGTTTGCTCTATTTGATACTGTCTATGTGGGTTCTTTTTTAAGCCACTCTGTTGTATGCCTGTCAAGTTCTCTTTTAAAACTAGTATTAGAGTTTAGAACCAACACCCTTTAAAAACTAACTGGTTTAGGGGCACCTGATGGTTCAGCTGGTTAAACACCTGACTCTTGATTTTTGGCTCAGGTCATAATCTCAGAGTGGAGATGGAGACCCATGTTGGGCTCCGTGCTAGGTGTGGAGCTCTGCTTGTGATTCTCCCTCTCTCTGCACTTTCTCCATTCTCTAAAAACAAAACAAATAACTAACTGGTTTATGAGTTTAAGTTTTTGATATTATGAGATAAATTATAAAGTCATGTCCAAACTGCAATACTTTTTTTTTTTCAATTTTAAGTAGGCTTCCTGCCCAACATGGGGCTTGATCTCACGATCTGAGATCAAGAGTCACATGCTATACTCACTGAACCAGCCAGGTGCCCCAGTCAAACACTGGTGATAAATACATAAACTCTTTCAATTTCTCAGTATCAACCACGGAGATATCAGAGAAAACTTTCATTTCACCTTTCACAATTTACCAAGGTTGGGCTGTTGCAATTACTCAGCTCTGCCCTTGAATGCAGCCATAAACCCTTGTAAATATATGGATGTGGCGATGTATATTTTTACGGACTCAATATATATGTGATTCAGTTTCTTTATCTGTATTAATATGATACTAATTCTCATAGGGTTCTGTAAGGAATAAATGAGTTACATTAAAGTATATAAAATAGTTCCTGGAATATGTAAGAGTGTAATAAATGTTAGATATTATCACTACTTTTTAAAAATAACATCTTGAAATATGGAAATAACTCTTGCATTTTTGGCTTTGGTGTGGACCAGATGGATAGTTGCTGTCAGAGCCAACCTGCAGATACTAGTACAAACCTACCCCTACTACTAAAGCAACTTTTTCTACCTCTACATGAGGAACAAAGCCAAACTGCATAGGACCATGTGACAACTTGTGGTATTTTAAGGTTTGTCAACTGTAACCTCAAAGTATACAAAACTCTGAGGAAATATAAACATTTATTTTTATAACTTGTTATTTTTAACAGTCCTTTAAACTTTTTTTAAGTTTATTTTGAGAGGGGGGAAGGGCAGAGAGACAAAGGGGTGGGGGAGAGAGAGAATCCCAAGCAGGCTCCACACTGTCAGTGCAGAGCCCAACACAAGACTTGAACTCACAAACCATGAGATCATAACCTGAGCTAAAATCAAGAGTCAGATGCTTAACTGACTGAGCCACCCAGGTGTCCCTAGTCATTTAACTTTTAATCAAGCCATTTTTAAAATCCAAATTATGAAAGAATATTTTTTAAAATATTTATTTATTTAGGGGGAGCAAGGGGAGAGGGAGAGGGAGGGAGAGAGAGAGGAATCCCAAGCAGGCTCAGAGCCCGATGTGGGGCTTCATCCCATGAAACACAAGATCATAGTCTGAGGAGAAATCAAAAGAAAGATGCTTAACTGACTGAGTGACCCAGGCACTCCTTTTTCATGAAAGAATATTTTAAAACAAAAACAATTAATTAAAATGAATAATTATTATTGCTATTAACCTTGTGGAAACAAGCTTCACTGGACATTTTTGTCAAGAAAAGACATACTTTTCTCTGAATGAAACCAGAACAGAAAACCAAGTGATGATAATGGAAGTGATTTAGAAACAATGAAGACCCAGAGTATATATCAGTTCTACTCAGAAACATGATTCCTCATCTTGAGTTGAGCTTTGGAGCCATAACTGATGGTGAGAAGTGCTAAAATCCCAAAATCCAGTGTTTTGCAATTATGATCAATGATGCTATAAACAATCTTGAACATTTCTTAGTACACATGTGCAAGATTTCCTTTAGGGTATATACCAAGGAATACAGTTGCTGGGTCATAGAAAATATGTATCTTCAACTTACTAGTAACACCAAATTATCCAAAGTGATTGTCCCATACCAGTTCTGTATGTCCATTAACAAGTACACAAGTTCCTGTGTTGACAGTTTCATCAGTATTTATTGATCAACATTTTTTGACAACATGTAAAAGGACACTTCATTGTGGCTTTATCCATTTTTAAAATTAAGCTATAATTTACATACAGTAAAATTATTTTTAGTGTATAGTTCATATTTTTCATCTTTTCCTCTGCACTGAATTCAAAATTATTTCCTCACATTTTTCTTCTAGTTCACTAATTCTGTGTTCAGTAGTATCTAATCTATTACTCTGCTGTTTTAATTTTAGCAATTCTATTCTCTTCTGTAGTGTTTTTTTCTTTTCCAAATCTGCTTGGTTATAACACTAGCTAGATTTAAGGGCTTTAGAGCCAATGTAACTGGAGGCCATTATATTGGACAGTGCATATGTAGAGTATTGTATTTCCATCAACTTCAAGTGTTCCATTGGACAGCTTTGCTCTAGAGCTGTTTTTCCTTCTGTCGAGTACCAGCAGGCCTCACCAGCCTTGGAAACCACTTTAACTTAATTTGAGGGCTTTTTGTGTGTTTTGTTTTGTTTGAACCATGCAGGTGGTATTAAGTTGGGCTGCAAAAATGAATGAAGTTTATCTTGAGATTATGAATTCTCAGGGTAAATTATTTTTCAGTTTTGCTGTGGCTCCAAAGATATCCATGGATAATAGATTCTATTCCTTTGTTCAGATGATGAGAGTAATGTTGCAAACACCAGACCAGTTTCAGAAAGCCCCTGTGTGCTGAGTGAACCACAACCGTTGGTCTTACCTCGAGTGCCACAGTCAAAGGTGCCGTCCATCACCTCAAATACAGTAAGCACCATACAGGAATGTGCTGGAGAACCTAGGACTGTTCTTGCCAGAAGCTTGCTCAGAGTTATTTGCCTTAATTTTATTATTTATGACTTGACTGTTTTCAGTAATGTGTTTATCCCAGTAATCCAGTGACTCTGCACTGATAAGTTTAATTTCAGTTTAAAAAATTAATAGCAAATTAGGGTTAATATTTAGTCAGCTCTTTTTAAAAGTCATCCATAAGTTATGCAATGTAGAATCAGCTATTGCTGCCTGATTGCAGGCCTAAGTCTGTTTGGGAGAATAAAGGATATGATGAAAAAGGTAACATCTTATTCTTTGAATTTCTCCATTTTGACTCCTTTTCCTCTTCCCTCAGCCTACCTGGGTTTTATTTTTGGTATTTGAATCTATTGATTTTTTTTTTTTTTTTTTGCCTTTTGGATGTTTAGTCTCATTAATAACAGGCATAAAAAGCAAACCAAAGGAAAAAGTAGTCCCAATTAAATCTGTGGACAGGCAAAAATAAATAAATAAATAAATCTGTGGACAGGCATAAGAACAGCCATTTCTTGCAGAAGCCTGATGAGCCTGGTCTCATCCCTTCATCTAGTCCCAGTTCCTACATGGTCGTTTCTCAGTGTTACCTGTGGCCAAAAAAAAGGAGAGGGGGATGGATTCTAATCCTTGAGCCACGCTCACCATCACTGGGTTTTACTACCAGGTCTAGTGTTTGCTTTGTTGGTATACTGGTCTGATATTGTCCTGCTGGATTTACAAATGTGTTACATAAAAATAAAATCAATAAGGCCCATCCATATCGTATCACACTGGTGGCTTAACCAGGTGAACTAATGTTCTTGGTGGTAATAAAATACTTCTAACATGCTAACTTAAGTGGTCTGACTATGGGTTAGGTAGCCTAAGTTATGAATAGTTAACTTAAATGTTTCTGGCTCTTAGTGACCAAAGGAAAGAGAAGCATTAATCCAAAGATTCCTTAGAGAAAGTAGGAAGAAAATGCATGCTATGGCAGAAGAAGATGGCCAGGAAGGGCACTGAACTGATGATCTGACAGAGAAAATCAAAAGCACTTCAAGGTGGCAATGTTAGTCCAAGGAAGATTAAATCCTGCTAACACTAGAACAAATAAGATTAACTCTTTCTAATAAAAGTTTTCAGAATTTAGGTTATGATGATAGCTGACTGCTCCAGAGGTAGTGAAAGAGAAAGGATGTTTATGCAGAGTGTAAGACTGTTTGATGGTGAAAGAGATTATGTCAGAGTTTACTCTTTTTCTATTTTTATTTCATATTTTGTTTTCTTTTCTAATGTAATATAAATAATGATAGTAATAAAGTCCTCTATCCCCTATCAGAGTAGCTGTTAACGTCTTTCATCTCAGTTGATCAGGCTTCCCTTACCTGGTGACATTTAAAAATGAAGAGAGAAGGACTCTGACTTGTCATTTTAACAGTGGACTTGGAGCCCCAGCTAGGCTACTCGTGAAAGATGTTAAAAAAGTTGAGGCATAGGAGAAAAAAGTACAGATCTCCTAATTTGAAAATACTATCTTTTGGCAAAGTTGGGAAACCAAGTATTTTCACCAACCAATACAAGTAACATTTTCTTTTGACATGTAGATGAATCTCTGTCAAGCAGCAAGTGGTCATCAGCCAAATGTGAATGGTCTCTTGGTTCATGGGATGCCTCTACAGCCAAGAAATCTCTCCCTAATGGACAAGTTACTGTAAGATGTATAAAGTTTTAATAGATTCTAGAGTTTACATAGAACACTGAGAAATAAAAGGAAAGCTACATCAGTTGATCAGTATGCATGCTGAGTATCTACCAAGCAACTAGAGAAATTTGGGAAGTAAAAACATCTAAGGAAATGGTTTCCACCCTAAAGGAGCCAATAATGTAACTGGAAAGAGAAGACACAAACGGGTAAAGAGAGACCCACATAGGGCATCTTTGTGACTGAATGTCAAGTGTGTGGTACCCAGAGTGAATGCATGGTGGTCCCAAAGAGTGGAGGCATTTTGGTGCATAACTGTAGGTTTGAACTTTTCCTTCAAAGATGGGAGTTTGAATAAATAGAGAAGAGCAACAATGCTATTGCAGGTAGGAGGAATGGTGTGGGAAAAGATTTGGAAACAAGAAAGAACTATTCAGAAGAGAAAGCAGACCAGTTTTGCTATAAGAAAAGGAGTAGGTCACAATTTATTGGTTCTGACCCAAGATCATTGATTATTTTTCAGAATTAAAACAGATATCATGGTGTGATTAGTGGGAAAGAGTACTATGAAATTAATGAAGGCTGGGACCAGACTGGGGGGTTTGAATGCCATGTTTTTGAGATCCATTTATGTTGTTGCACATGATCTTCTCTTTTGTTGCTAAGTAATATTCTACTGTAAGAATACACCACAATTTGTTTATCCATTCTCCTGTTAGTGAACACCTGAGGTGTTTCCAGGTTGGGGTTGTTATGCTTAAAGGCATTATAAACATTCTTGCACTGGTCTTTTTTGCGGACGTATGGCCTCATTTTTCTAGGGTCAGCATGTATAAAGTGCCATAGGATAGATAAGTTTAACTTTATAAGAACCTGCCATACAGTTTGCCAAAGTTAATTACACCATCTGACCCTCCTGCCAGCAATATATGAATTTCACCTAGGAGCACATATATTTAAATCAGTATTTGAAAGATAGATTTTACAGCAGAACATAGATTGGATTGAAGCAGGAGGAACTGAAGGTAAAGAGTCTAATTAATATAGGTGTTCAAGGGGCACCAGGATGGCTCAGTTCGAAGAGCATGTGACTCTTTATCTTGGGACTGAGTTCAAGCCCCATGCTGGGGTGTAAAGATTACTTAAAAAGTGTGTGTGTGTGTGTGTGTGTGTGTGTGTGTGTGTGTAGGAGTTCAAGCTGCCGAAAGTCTGTACTCGAGTTGTAGCAAAAGATAAGAAAGGAATGGAGTATTATAGAGCTACTGTAAAAACAAAAAAAGCAAAAAACAATCAGATTCTATAAAAGCAGAGGAATCAAAGTCAACTCAGAGATTTCAAACTCAAGGGAAACTTGTGGAGTAAAGATAAATTTGGTTTGGGGTGTGTTGAGTTTACAATGCCAGGCCATCTCACTGGAAACATGGAAGAGGTCAGCTTTGGAAAGTGATCTAGAAGTCACCTGGCTAAAGGTGATGACTGAATCCAGAATTATAAATGAGCAGTCCAGAAGACAAAATAAAGATAAGCATAGAGCACCTAAGGCCTAAAGGAATTTGATATGTAAAGGTAAAAGTAAGTGAATGGTTAGGGAGGAAGACCAGCAAAATCTCTTGTGAGTAATGCTCAAGGTTTAGTCCATTCCTTAATGGCTATTTCCCCTTCACAGTTCTCCAAACACTGAGGTATATTTTGCCCTACAGACACCAAAGGGCCTGAAAGTTTGAGGAACTTGCTGAAAGCCAAAAGAGCATGTGGCAGAGTGTAATTCTTTCACATTCTCTCCATTTCCTTGCTCTTTTAGGTGTCTTATAGCACATATATCTCATCTGTATTTTAAAAAACAAAATAAAAAGCCCCAAATCTGTAGGGTAGAGTTTAAGCTACTGAACTTTTTGGGCATATTTTACTTTTCAGAGTACGTACAGAAAAGTGTTATTTCAGCTGCTTATGCAAATAGGGATCTACTATAGTCCTGGTGCCCTGGGCAGCAGGAGGCTCTGGACCTTTTGCCTCCTTCTAGCTTTCCAAGAAACCCGAACCCCTACCCCTGCAAGCTCCAATGAGCTCAGCATTTTAATCTTTGAGTGGGAGCCATACTGGTGCCACATTGCTCCCAAGCAGCAATATTTGCTTTTTAACTAAGTCTTTCCTTCAGCACAAAGAATGTCTCAAATATGGTAGGGATCTATGAGGTAAACTTTTGGGAAGCACTCTAGTGTAGGTACTCTTCAGGTTAGCCTTCACTGTAACTAAAGAAGTCACTGTCTTGGCAGATGAAAAATGGATTTGCTTTCTGAAGTCTCCATTCTATTAAATTATTTGTATAAGTAAAATGATGTCCTTTTAAGAACACATTATTGGGGTGCCTGGGTGGCTCAGTCAGTTAAGCATCCAACTCTTGGTTTCAGCTCAGGTCGTGATCTCACGGTTCGTGAGTTTGAGCCCCACATCAGGCTCCGCCCTGACACTGTGGAGCCTGCTTAGGATTCTCTCTCTCCCCCTCTGTCTACTCCTCCACTGGTTGCTCTCTCTCAAAATAAATACATAAACTTTTAAAAATAAAATAACACATTCTCATGCCTGAACTAGATGTAATTTGTATATACTAGGTTACTTCCTTTGCCTTTTTCTCCCTTGAATGCATTTTACAGTCTAAGCCTTTGAGTCCTGTTTCCCTATACAGAGCAATCTTGATTTCATTCTGGGTTTCTGATTTGGCCACTAGAGACCTTGATGACAAGCTACTTATGAGACCTGGATCCAGTACCATCCTTTCAACCCGAAATTGGCCATATCGAGCCCTGGAGTTTAGTACGTCAGCTCTGTCATACACAGTGCAATCCGCCAGGAGACGCAATCCCCCACCACGTACCCTTCACCCCATCAGCACAAGCCATTCACGCGCTGGAACCCCAAGGCCTGTGGAAGAAATCCTCAGAGGATCCCGAGTGTAGGTTTCAAAGCAGAATTTTTGGAAACTGTGATAAAACTAATGAAGAATTTTATGAAGAGAATGAATTTAAATGTAGGATTGAAATATATGCTTAGAAATTAATTAAATAGTCCCATGATGGTTTAAATTCAATACAGAAAAAAATGTGGTTAAAGTTGAATACAATACAGATATTGGAGTTTTCCGTTAAGCTAGCAAAAGTTTTATATTTCTACATATAAAATGGCTAGAATACTTCAGCGACACTCATCTAAGGAATAAAATATATGTATCTTATTAAACATTTTCCTTAGTGGGAAATTCATCCCAAAATCATAGTGAACTCTCCTTTAATATTTTTCTGTACCCTTGGGATCTGCTTATTCTATTGACAATGTAACATTTTAACCTCAGATAAGTACTTGCCTACATACCAGGAAAAATATCCCTTACCACTTCTTAGGAAATAACACTAAACATATTCTCTTCCCTCTTCCCACCCTTACTTCACTTTGAGCCTCATCACGCAAAAAATACTTAGAAGCCATTTTTTAAAAATAAAATTATTAGTCATTGATTCACAAAACATCTTGGGATATTTGATTCTAACACCGTGATCAAGGGTATGAGATAACATGGCTGTAACTGTGTTTTGAATTCAGCTTCTAAATTAAGCACATGTCACTATGCTTCTCTCCCAACATGTTATTTCTTGACTGATTTTTCAATTTGTTTTCATCGGTCCCCCATAGATTCACTAAGAGAGATGTCTACACCAACCACAAATCTTTCATGACACCAGGGTTCTTCTCACCTATTCGCTATTTTATTATATTGATGTTGATATTGATACAGCTATAAAACTTATTTGAGGATGAGGGTGGATAAGGGAGGACTACTGTTATTAGTGAAAAGGACAATCAAAAGGCCCAGAACTATGGAGAATTCCATCAGATATGAAATTTCAAATCCATATCAGGTTAACAGCTTAACAGTGTTAACACCAGACAGGGAAAATTTCACAAAGAGCTAAACTTAATGCTGTGTGCCCAGGATAAAGTTTCAACAAAAATCAGAAAATACTATGAGAAAACCCCCCCAACTCTGATTTTCCAAAATCCTTTCACTGAGATTTCTTTATGTAAAAACATAGACAACTTAAAGCATTCTGTGCATGACATTAAACTCATCTCCTTTATTTATTTGGTTCTAAGTAGTTTCCTAGTATTGTTATAACTTTATGCTTTACTATCTTGGTGTTTGCTGGTGGGATCTGCAGCCCAGGAGCGGCGGACTCGCTCTCCTCTCCCTCACCAATGCCCCTGAGTCGAAATAATCTCCTGCCACCTATCGGCACAGCTGAAGTGGAACACTTGAGCACTGCGGCGTCGCAAAGGCAAACGGTATGTCTTTCTCCTATTGCCTTTTCCATGTGCTTCTAAGACCTCATGGACAGTAACAGTGCAGGATCATATTCTGGAAACTGAATCCTAACTTATGACAATGGAATTAGAGCTGCTTGGCCTGTAGTTTTCATACCTACCTGGGTTGATGTAGGACATGCACAACTCTAGCTACAAATTGTTTTAACTATTTCTTAAAATTTTTGTCTCCTCTGCAGAAAACCCACAGTGACTCCAATCGAGCGCGAAGTGCAGTAGTGGATGAGCCTAACCATCAGCAGCCCCAGGAGAGACTCCTTTTACCTGACTTTTTCTCCAGGCCCAACACTACTCAGTCATTTTTGGTAGAGCAACATACTTCTATGGTCTTGACAGTTGGGGAAAGGAAAAAAAAATTAGTTTGGCAGACTTAAGATTTCACGTAGTAGCTTAATCAATTCCAAGAATAAAAGCTGAGGTTCTTAGTAATAAAAATAGCATTAGAAGTACATCTTGTTGAAATTCTAACTGGTCTTTGCCACTTATTCAACTCATAAAAAGAATAAGTTGAAATGCCTTACACATGAATCACAAATTCTAATTTAAATTGTTAAATATTAAATTATTAAATATTTCTGAGAATAAAAAAAATGTCATACTCCAGTGCATATCAGATCAACATAACCCATTCTCTAACACTGCTCTTACAGAGTTACACCAACACTGGTATCAGATTATGATGTGGACTGATGGATAGGTAAATCACCTAAAAAAAAGTCAACTCTTTAACTGGTGCTTGAGATGCTCACATAGCCTTACCATATAATGTGCATTTACTAGCCCTTTTAAGCAACTAATAGAAAAAATTTAGTTGGTAGTGGAGGTCATGCACTGACCTTGCCCAATTGTAGGCCAGGAGCTCAGCCCCATCTGATCTGCTTTGTGGCAAGAGGGCTTGAAGAGCCTCAAGAAGTGAATGGGGCCACACTCAGTGCTCAGGAGCCAGCGGCCTCACATCCAATACCAGTTTTCATTCAGGATGGTGGTATTTGAAGCCCACTTATTCCAACTTATAAGCCTTGAACTGTATCAGCCTAAAGCAATATACTATCCTCACTGAAAGAGTGGTGAGAACAATGTTACTGGGATGTTGTAGTAGTTTCCTAGGATTACCATAACAAATTACCAGACTGGGTGGCTTAAAACAACAGAATTTTATTCTTTCAGTTCCAGAGCCTAAAAGTCCAAAATCAAGGTGTCAGCAGACCTATGCTTCCTTCTACTACAGGCTCTATGGATGTGGGTCTTCTCACCTCTTCTTGGCTTCTGGTAGCCTCCAGTGGTCCCTGGTGGTCCTTGCTGTGCAGCTGCATCACTCCAGCTTCTGCCTATGCCTTCACACAGCCTTCCTCCCTGTATCTTTTGTGTCCAGACTTCCCTCTTATGAAGATACCAGTCATTGAATTTATGGCTGACTCTAATCCAACCTGACCTCACCTTATCTTGATTACATTTGCAGAGATTCTATCTCCAAATAGTCACAGCCACATGTTCCAGGTGGACATAAATTGTGGTGGCAGAGGCAGGAGGGGACACTTTAACTCAACAGACCTTAGGAGACTTATTTAGGGGGAGATTCACCAAAACATGACCTAAAGGGAAATGTGACCATTTCTGATTCTTACTCAATGTGAACCCTAGAAAGTTTGAGAACCTCTATTAAATCTGTCCTCTCATAATCTGATTCAGGGCACTTGTTAAAGCAGTGTTTCATGATTATATTCTACAGCTACGTTCTCTATAAAACATTTATATATAATTTTCAGTTTCTTCTTTTTCTGATGTTTATAACAATAAAAGTAAGAATTTCTTACCTTAGTTGTCTCTCCCAGTTTGCTGTCACCCAAAGGGAACACCTAGTAGCTCAATGTAACTAAGAGCACTATATCCGAGTTCCTGGCTTGGCACTTCCAGACTAGCACTCTGCTCCTAGGGGTCAACAAACTATTTTTATGGGCCATTTGGCTCACCACAAAAATTGTTTTTATAAATAAAGTTATTAGAGGAGAATTACCATACTCATTCATTTATGTACTGTCTATGACTGCTTTCTCACTCTAACAGCAGTGGTAGGCAGTTTCCAGCAGTATGTACCAAAAAGCCTAAAATATCTACTTTCTGGCCCTCTAAAGAAAGGAAGTTTGTTGACCCCAATAAAAAAGAAAAGGGGGCTTCACCAAAAAAAAAAAATTTTCTGAAATGTCTTGATTCCACTGCTCCAACAGGGAACTGAGAGGGATGTTTTTTATTTCAGAAGCATCAGCAGGATGGCATTGATAGCTTTTTTGATACATTTCAGTATTTTAGTTATATCTTAAAATCTTTAAATTACTAGAGGTGATTTTGAAATGCTTGAATTTCATATTGTGAGTCACATTTCAACCATGGAGAGAAAATCATGGGTGTTTAATGTTGAAAAGACTCTGTTCTGTTGTTTTAAACTTTAGTCAGCAGGCAATCTAAATTAGATAAAATTCCCTTGACAGCCAATTGTAAGTACTTAGAAATATTAAACCATATGGATTACTTATAAGTGCTACAATTTTCTTAATGGCATATTAATAAAATTTTAGAACTTGAAAAAATTTTTATAAAAGAACTTAAAAATTTTTCCAAGTTAACAAATGGCTTTGTAGGTCTCTGGTTTGGGATTCTTTACTTAAGAGTGCACTCAGCCAACCTATCCCTCAGATGGCAGACAATGCCATTTACAATGTTGTCTGATTTCAAGGTATTCCCTTGTAAATCTACTAACATACATCCTTTGGGAGAAGTCCCATTGTAAGAAGCGTCTCATCTTTTTTGTTTTGCAGCCAGATACACAATATCATCATTTGTGTGTTGCTGAGTATCCTCATCAGGCCCGACCCGGCAGGGGATCTGCAGTGACAGGTGGGACCATGGCTCTATTTTTACCACTGTGTGGCTATGTTAAGACCCTGCTTTGTCTGTTTCCTATGTTTATTTCCCCTTCCTCCAAATGTTATTATATTTTGTTTTCCTACATCTTTGTAAATCACCTCAATCAAATTCCTTTTGGAAATGGCATATAATAAAGATAGAGGAGACCTCTATTGCCCAGGGCCAAGTTCCAGATTTGTTTTTTCATATGTAAATAAACTTCTCACCACTCTGGCAAAATAGACAGTACTTTCTTTTCTTCAATCTAAAAAACTTAAGTGAAATAAGCCATTTTTATAACATTCAAACACTGCATGGGTTTTATGATGTAGGCAAAATCCATACTGCTGTAGAATAAACTGCTATGGTCAGTTAACCTGCTAGGCCAAAGTAAGAAAAGAAATTTTAAAATATCAAGACATGCGGAGTCTGAGTCTATTCTATTAACTTTTCTGATTTCTAAGTCATATTCTATAGATTGTATTTTCATAGGGAAGGAGAAAACTTAAGGATATCTTAACTTAAAAGTTATCTTCCTATAATGGTCTTCTCACCACTATCAGGGTCATTCTCATTATGTTGTAGGTGAAGTATGGAAGTATTAAGCAGTTGAAATGTTTCCTGTTAGATTAAAAAGTAATCTGCATCAAATTATCTCTGTCATCCACGTAAATTCTCTTGTTCAGTTCCTATTTGCATTGTTTGGCAGTCTCTGAATGCCTTCAGTGGATCCTTTTCTTGGATTAGTCCTCATAGAGAAGCAGTGCTGCCTCTGAGCTAGTTATTCCATTTAGCCATGCTGATGGCCAGTTAAAACATTTAGATAAGTGACACAGACATATCAGTCTGTTTTAATTAGTGGGTTCTTCTCTAGAACTAGGTTTCATATCTTAATACAGACTTGTACGTTTTACATGATAAAATAATGCAAATGTGGTTCTAACTGCCTTGGTATATATATGCTCTACTACTTAGTACCAGTCTCCAAATTTAAGTCCAACTGATAACTGGAGCAAAAAAGCCCTTAGGTATGAATTTGAGATTACCAAATCTAAAATGTCTACTAATGTCACTCTATGATGTCATCTTTGTCTGACAGGTCCTCAATTACATGGATCTACAAAATCTCAAAACAGGGGTGGACCAGTCTCCAGAACCAGGCAGGGACCGTAGGGCAAATAAGAAGAAACTGCTTTAAACTACAGGGACCAAGTGAGAAAATTTCACGAATCAGTGTTCAGTCATCTTGTGATGCAAAGGTGTATACAAGAGAGACAACTTAAAACCATCTTCATGAAGTGTTAATCTGGTATAACTGACTGAGAAAAAAAAGAATATCTGCCAAAGATTACATGGGTACTGTTTCTCCAGTTACCATCTTCTTTCAGCATAAGTTAACCTACTCCACTGGACAGTAGAATTTGTACCCAAAGATGAAAGAAATGAATAATTATCCCCAAATCACTGCTCATGTTGTCTGTTAACAATGATCAGTTCAATTATAGGATTCTGTGAGAGTTTATGAAGACTATACACACATAAAAAGCAGCAAATGATTGTTTGATAACATGATGCTATCACAGGCTTCAGAAAACTTCTGCTTATATGAATTTCTGGAGAGTTGTACGCATTTTTAAGGCATTTTTAGGAGACAGTTCTGTCAAAAACCTGAGCTACTCATCAAACAGATGTCATTCCTAAAGCTTTCTCTTTAGATGTCCAATCTTCTAAGCAAAGAGGTATGGAAGGGGTGAACATGTTGAACATTGGTTTAAAGTAACTTATGTAATAAGCCGTAATGTATATATATTTTCAGATAGGACAGCTCAACCTCACAATGTCTGCTTGGTATCAGATTATGCTTCTTTTCTTCTTAAAGGACTTTAGTAGTCTCTCTCTCTCTCTCTCTCTCACACACACACACACACACACACTTTAACTATTAAATTCACCTTATCAGATTTTCTCCGTAAGTTCTAAGTCAACTTGAAAATTTACAGAATCTGCTGGTAAGCCAGCAGTGCCTTAAAATTTCAGAAACTCTGGTAACTGGTCCAGTATAAACATATACTAAGAGCACAACTAGAGAACTTCAGCATTCTTCTAATTTCACCACGGACCTTTTTTTCGAGGACATCCATAAATGCAGCAGTGGTTCTAACTATGGCTTAAATTCATTTTATTTAAATTTCACTGAACTTTAATTTTGATGACCCTATCAGTTTTAGATCTTATTGTTAATCTTTAGAGTGGGTAAATTCAAGTGATCATAAATAGACGTAATTTTTTTTATTATATCAAAGTGTACTAATGCTATCATATGAAGACGGATGCTCCGAACAACCTACATTAAATGATATTTTCAATACAATTCAAGAGTATTTTTTAACCTGTTTGTAATTCCAAACTGACAACGTGTCATGTGCTTACCTAAGTTATCATAAAGCTCAGTAATAGAAAGGTTGTTTTATGCATATGGTATTGAATACGTAAGTCCACAAATCAAAGATTTTAAGTTGAACAGTTGCTAAAAAAAATTTCCAAATATTCCAATGTGTATATACCAATTTGACTAAATGTAAGTAAAAACCTGTACTATTCTCACAAATCAATACCATGAGTGCACGGTAACAAACCACAAGATCAAGATGGCTTGCCTTTCAAATTTAGAGAGTCAGAAGAAACCTCTAAAGAAGTCACTTAGCCCAACTCCCTCACTCTTTTATAGATGAGGAAACAAGTTCAGACAAATTCTGTGACCTAAGAACACTCAACAGTTACAGGCAGGACAATAACTCCTCTTTATGATACTTAAATCAGGCTACCTACTATCAAAGCTGACTAGGATTACTTTTCTTCTCTCTTCTCTAAATACCTTCCATAGTTTCTCTAGATGTTAGATTTTCTCTAAATACCTTCCATAGTTTCTCTAGATGTTAGATTTTTTTTAATGATCACTGAGATCATTTTAAAGGCCCCACAACTTAACAGTCTTTCTTAACTTGTTTATTTCATCATGTATTAAGTCTTACAAAGATGCCTGAGGTAATCTGAACATCTGTTTCTCCTTTACTTCAAGCAGAGTACAAAAGCCGGCTGAGTAAAACAAAAACAAAAAGGAAAGGGGATCTATTCAAGAATATTAAGCCCGAGAGTAAACTTGCAAATATTTGAAAGACAGACATCCAGCAAGTGTTTTAAAGGCTTTCTAGCCAGGTAGACCTATTGTTTTAATAAACACACACATCACTTCGAATACTCTGCAGCTGTGTACACACTCCTGCATGCCAAAATGACAACTGCTAAAGGCAATATGGGACAGACCCACATTCCAGGTAAGAATTCTTTGTATAGAAGATCCATAGAAGCAAGTGCTGCCGAGTACACTACTCCCATTCCCTCAAAAATCACCACCAAATTCCTTCATACAGGACCTCAAAGAATATCGGGATTTCTACGGTTCCTAAAATCAGGTTGAGAGATTCTGCTTGGTTTACAGCATTGATCTAATAATTTAGGCTGGAAGGACAACTTTGCAAGGGCAGGGTTGACTTCTGTCTTGAAATCTTGACTGTACCTTGCCTGTAAGGGCACCAATTAACACCTAAAGGCTTTTGAAGAAAAAAATCCATTATTTCTTTTCTTTCTTGAGAGGCGTTTTTTTCCCTCCTCGTTTAGAAGGTTTGCAGTACTTTGCTTCCATCTGAGCCAGAAAATTGTCCATTTCCTTTTGCCGATCCTTTTGTCTGCTCTGTTTAAGAGGTTAAAACACAAGCTTTCAAAACACAAGTCTATCCAGAGACAAAAGTATTCAGTGGTTGCCAAGGGCTGGTGGAAGGGAGAATGGGTGAATGACTGCTCATGAGCAAGGGGTTTGTTTTTAAGGTGATGAAAATGTTCTGGGGGCGCCTGGGTGGCTTAGTCGGTTAAGCATCCGACTTTCGCTTAGGTCATGATCTCGCGGTTCGTGGGTTCGGGCCCCGCGTCGGGCTCTGTGCTGACTGCCAGCTCGGAGCCTGGAGCCTATTTCAGATTCTGTGTCTAACTCTCTCTCTGACCCTCCCCTGCTCACGCTGTCTCTCTCTCTCTCATAGAAATAAATAAAAATATTTAAAAAAAAAAAAAGAAAGAAAATGTTCTGTAATTAGTGCTAACAATTATACAACTTGATGAATACACTAAAAGCCACTGAATTGTGCACTTTAAAAAGATGAAAACATGGTATGCGAGTTATGTCTTGAAAGAAAACACAACACCCACATCATATACACACTATAAAGAAAATATAAGCAGAAAGAATCAGAATATGAAAGTGGTGACAACCTTTAAAGACAACCTGCCAAGTTTACCTGAATGACTGCTTTCAAGTTATCTACTCCTTCATCAAGGCCCAACTCCTTCCTGCTCTTTTCTGCTTCTTTAGCCTCTTCCTGAGCCTAAAACAGAAACTCACGTGAGACTCCATGGCAACTCAGCATATACTAAAAAATACCATCTTTCCCAAAAGCAAATCTATTATAAGAAACTTTCCATTTGAGGATTATATAGATAAAAAGGACAGAATTACACAAATATGTCATTCATTAAAAGACAACACAGCTGACAGCATGCAGTTGATCCTCTGATTCTAATAAGCATTTCTGAGTTTCCCCCGTTTCTACTAGCTAGGGGTAGCAAGTAGTTTGGTATCATAAACTACATGGTGGTTAAGAATGAAAACAAAATGCTAGAACTAGGAAACGTCATTTAACCAAGGATGCCCTCAAAAATGTTGTCAAGACAAAGGCATCTCAGATTCCTCTCCTCTGGAAACCCACTTTTTACTACATGTGACTGGTGGCAGCCTTGAGAGTAACCCTGGCTTAAAATTCCCAAGTAGTCAAAATAAATACTAACAAACTCAGTTTTAACCTTTCTTTACCTGACTTCAAAGCCACCTTCTTCTGCCAAATTTTCCTAGGGCACTGATTCCAAAATACCACAAGAATACCTTGGGGAATGTTAATGAGTTTGTTCTTCATTTCAGGGCAACAACTAACACTGTAATAGGTCCCAAACCCCAGTAAACTTTCTAAACAGTAATGAACACTATTAATACTGGAAATGATGATACATTAGGGTTTTGTTATTGCAATAAAAAGACAGAGTTTCCATGGTCTACTTTCAGTCCTTGTATTCTATTTCTTAATACTTTCTTTAATACTGTGTACCCACCATCCAAGTTGGTGAAGTCTCTCTCAAAACTATGCCATCCCCCTGCCCCCAACTCTAGGGAAGTTTCTCAAGCTAATAGCCTATTACTGGATACAGCTGTGCTCAGTTTCACCAGAGAAAATGATTACCAACTTAAATGGTCAGCTTGAGCCTAAACACATGTAGCCTATAAGCCCAAATGATTATTATTTTTTTTAAAGTAGGCTCCATGCCCAATATGGGGCTTGAATTCAAGACACACACACACACACACACACACACACACACCAGCTTACCCCTAGTATGTACGTGGGGCCTGAATTCAAGACACACACACACACACCCACCAGCTTACCCCTAGTTGGTACTTGTATCAAGGCTGCAAACCTACCTCCACCTCCAAATCTTACACTGCCTACTTTCCACTGAGCTCCCATTAGGAAATCCAGGTTGAGACAATGGCTACTACCCCAGAAGACCAGAGACACAGATGCTTGCTATCTTGAATCCACTCCCCCCCAGAACCTCATCTGTCCTAAAGCTCCTTTCCCCTGACATCATCCCTCCCCCTACCAATACCAAGTATAATAAGGCAGAGAGGCCATAATCCTGGATTCTCCACAAAAGTGCTCCTCTCACAGTGTGTTTGGGAATACAGTTGCATCAAAATAAACTGAGTCATTTGTTTAGAAATGTATATTCCGGGTCCAACTCAAGAATTAGTTTGGGCAAAGACAAAAGAAAATCTGTATTAACAAGACACAGTCTCTCCCCCCGCCACCCCCCACACAAAGTTTCTGTCACCCTCTTACCATCCCTTAACCGAGTGAGCCACCATCTATAACCTATGTATTTGGACTCCATTATTTTATCTCTTGAGGAATAAAGAATATTTGTGTTATTTTAAGATTATATTAGTTATTTAAACCATCCACATAGTAAAAATCCTGTTAAGCACAACATACTAGGAAAAAGTTTCTCTTGATGAGCTGGTATGCTCATTTCATTAGACAACAACTATATAATAAGTTAACTCTCGTTCTCATTTAAGTAATCTTACTATATTTGTTATTGTAAATACTCTCATAGTCTTTTTGGAAGCAATAAAGAAATAATAAATTGCATTCAAAATCCTACCCTCCTTTTTCTTGCATTCATCTTTTGCTTCGATTCTTTGACAAAGGCATTATAGGATGGGATCTCTCCAGCATCAATGGCTTGCTGGATAATGTTCCTTATCCTGGGTTCCTCTGTGTACTGCACACACAGCACAGACTCCATGATCTGATCCATGTCACCCTTGAAATCCAAATAGGCCTGTTTAATATCTGCCAGCTCTTCTTCAGAACCTTTGTATGTCTTTTCAAAAGCTTGAATGTCTTCTAGAGATATCTGAACACATAAGAGACATATGTTTTAGCTTTAACTGACAATTTTATTTTAAATAAATAAAAAGTATACTAGTAAAACCAGATTTAGGTGTTGAACTATTTGTCTCCAAGTACAACAGTTGCTTGAGTTGAAACTGTTGCAAGGAACAACATTTTCTATGCCAAAGCTTTTCCAGAGTTCTCCCTACTCCAACCTTCACAACTACTAAGTTACAGACCAGGAAATTTTAAGTGACGTTTCTCAGGAAAACTCAGGACTTACATGTGGATATGTAAAATGAAGCCTTATCTTGTAAAATATTAAACCACCTCTTTCACTACAATCGCTCTACATCAACAGGAAATTAAAGACCCATTTCAGTAGAACCGCGCATGTTTTACGATTAAATAGATTTATTCTTCTTCAAAGACATATGTATCTACTGAGGAATGCTTGCTTGTATGTATTTATCTGTATTTTTGAAATGAAACAAATTCCTCATTCCTACACAACACAAAATGCAGTGCCTTAAAGGCATTCAATAAACGTTTGTCGAATGAATGAAGGGAACGGTCACAAAGAAATCTCCAGAATCCTCTACCTTTTTAAAAAGTAACCTCCAATACGTCTCCCAGTCCCGATCTTGGTTGAGCACATCCGACTCTTCGTCCACTGTTCCCTGCTCATTGTACAGTGCTCTCTGCTCTTTGTCGCTCAGAACAGAATAGACTTTCCCGAGGATCTGCGGGGAGAGAGAATCCAAAAGTCATCCCTGCAACCCTCACTGAAACCGCGCTTCGGGAACTAAAGATTAGAAAAAGCCAGACCGAGCTGGGCACGCTCCGCTGGGGCGGGGCCAGGCGGCCAAAAGACCAAGAGAAACCCAGGCGGCCAGTGGGAGCGCGGACTCGCGTACCTGGAAACGGCGGGTGGCGTCTTCTTTGTCGTCCTGGCCGACCCGGTCCGGGTGGACCTGCAGGGACACCTTGTGGTAGCCGCGCCGGACCTCGCTGTCCGAGGCCTCGCGCCGCACACCCAACACTCGATAAAGGTCGGCAGTACCAAACACTTCCTCGCACAGCTCCAGCAGCCCCATGGCCGGCCGGGGCAGGGAGCGAACTGCAAACTCCGCAAAAACTGCCGGTGCCGGTAACACTGCCTAGCCCTCCGAACTGCCTCCTTTTCCCGCGCAAAAAAAAAAACAACCCAGGGCGACCGCGTCACAAGAAGCGCCGGGGGAGGCGTGGCCAGGAGGCCACACTTTACGGCGGCTGCAACGCGAGGGCGTGGCCAGCCCAGAAAGCTCTGCTGTGGGGAACTCCCTCAGCCTGGTCCGGCGATAGCGCCCAGTGCCAGGACGCCCTCCTCCCCTTACTCAGGGACGCTGGCGCCTATCTTCTCCCCGGTGTCCCAACGCTTAAGCTTATCTAATATATGGCACGTCCATATTACTCGAACTTATATGCTGCTGTTTTGTTTGCCTTTTTTTTTAAGTAAATAACTGTATTAGTATCGGCATTTGGTAATTTGACATGGTTCAACATGTTCTTTTCAGTGATTCAGACAGGAGTACTCAGAACGTGCAAACCCAATAATTTTGCAACCTACACGTTGGGACTGCTGGGTAAGGGCTTTCCCTTGACTCCTGCAAGAAAAACAACCCTAACCAAAAGCACAAAATACCGGTCTTTTAACTTTTACATTACAGAATCATTCCCATTCACCTTCCACTTTGGTGAAGGTAACGTGACCCAAACCCTCACCTTAGTAAAAATAAAGATGCTGAAGAAAAGGCGTTTTTAATTATTTTAATGGTTTCTTAAGTGCAGAGCTGGGTTTTAGCATGTTGGATTTGAGGTGATAGCAAGATAAGCTGATGCAATCAACTAGTAGATGGTGAGAAACTATGTCGGGAGACCCAGAGCAAGGCTAGAGCTTGAGAAAACTTTGGAAATCAGGGACAGGATGAGCTCAAAGAGAAAGTGTGTGTATATAGATCTTAGACAAAGGAAAACCAGGGCACAAAGTGAATACCTGAATTGGCAGAAACTCAGTAGCTTAAAATATTTTAGCTTAACCCATTTTCCAGCAGTTTGCCTTACTGGTCAATACTTTCCGGAATCATTCTCCTCCGCTCTACAATTATAGTTTATCCAAAGATCTTGAACAATCCAGAGATTACTATCTGTAACTTCCAGAGTTCCCATGGTTTTCATAGCATTTCTCTTTCCCAGATCCAAGAGAAATCCAAGTAGTCAGTTCTTCTCCAGCCTGCCCTGACTTCAAAGTCCCCTCAAAGCAAGGGAAGCCAACCAGTAACAACCCTGGGAGAGACTTGATGATACCATAATGATGGCTGGTAATTGTTCTCAGAATACAAAACCCAGAGAATAAAGTAAGTTGGTACATACTAGCACTTTATTATCTCCTCTATAAATCTCCCCACCATAGTGTCATGCCAGAATTTGAAATCTGTACTATCCAGGGTGTGCACTAAAATTCTCCAATCCATGTCTATGGTTGTCCTGCAAACTGGTGGAAGAGGTAATGACATTTTGGGTTTTGGGCACAGCCCGTCATTTACATTACCAAATTCATGACACCGAAACCTCATTCTATCACACTGGTTTTTTAAGTGGACTTTTGAAAAATCCCTCATCTCACACCCACTTTGCCCCAGACACTAAAATATGCTGGAAAGAGCTCTCCAGGTATGCATAGTAGAGTCTGAATCGTAGCTTTGCCCAAATGAAAACAGGTGGCTTTGGTCAAGTTTCCACCTCTGAACCTCAGCCTCCCATCAATAAGATGGAGACAATCCTACCCACTTTCATGATACCTAATAATCCTCACAAATAACTCTACTTGTAAAGAGCTGAGAATGTACATAGGTACTTTTCAATATTACCTTTCTTCCATTTTCTCATTCTTAAAATAGACTCTTATAGCTTAAAAGCTCATTAAAAAAATCTACCTTTGTAAATTTGAGATTATGTGTCAAACAAGACAATATAAATCTATAATTACAAAAAAAAAAAATAAGCAAAGTAACTGTGTTCTTGAGCCAGTGGGATGACCATAAATGATTAAGGAAGGAATTACTCTGATGGACCATGGGCAGGCTGGCTGGGGGCTTTCAAACAAGGGTCTTGGAAGGGAGCAGACTGTAAAGTTACCCAAGAGATCCAGGGCCCAACCCAGAAGTCCAACACACGTCACAGTCACTGTCTTTCTCCAGATGAAGACTAAAAAAGCAAGTGAGTACCCAGACCCAGCTCTATGTCAGAAAGAACAAATCTCTCCCTGCGCCCTGCTCAGGCCAGGCCAGAAGAGCATGGGTGACTTAGAAAACTCCATTTATTGACTTCTAAATCTAATAAAACTAAGTATTCTGCACAAGTATTTTAAGAGAACTTAGACCTTTTCCCCAGTGTTCTGCTCAAGCTCAGCTGAAGTCAGCTCGTTTTTGTTTCTGTAGTTTCTGTAGTTTCTGTATCTGTTTTCTGAGATGCTAAGAGGACTTCGCGTGCCCGTTTTCTTCGCAGCCTCTCAGCATTTGTGATCATCATGGGATGCAGAGGAAAGAAGCCAGAGAGACCTAGAAGCAACAGGATTTTCACTCATTATAACACAGAACAAGGAGTCTCCAGATTCAAAATGACAATTAGAACACAACTTCAGCTCTCACTCCAGTCCTGATCAGCCTGAGGTAATGAAAATCATTCTTAACTATTATCACCCTGAAACTGACTTCAGTTTAAAATCCCCTCAATGAAGTAAGGCTAGAGCTGAGTTACCCAGAAGTTTCTCCACAGGCTTAGAGAGGTGAGCCCCACAGCCAATCCAATGCCGGATCCGGTCCAGGTTGAGAGCAACAATTTTCTCTCCATGGCTGTTGGGCAGTGGATCATAGGAGCCCAATTGCTCCACGAAACGGCCATCCCTGGGGCACTTGTTGTGAGCAGCCACAATGCGGTAGAAAGGCCGGTTGGTACAGCCACTCAGGGAAAGGCGGATGACTAAGTGGCCTCCACGGTAGGCCTTGCAGAGGACAGAAGCTGTAGAGAAATAAATGGTTAAGACACAAGAACTGAGTACACAAAATAAACAAAATTAGTTAGATAACAAGCTCCTTCCTCAACTGTAGTATCTCTACATCCAACCGTTATTGTCAATCTGGTTTAAATACTATATTCTTTGTGAAACTCGTTTCATGCGCTTCAACGAGAAGTGACTACCTCCTCATCCCTTAACCAACTCAACACCAGCCTGCCAGTTAATAGCTCTGCAACCACGAGCCTCAGCTACCTCACCTATAAACTGAATACCATTTTTCTCATAGGTTTTTCAGCATGGCTTAAGGAAGAGAAAAGGAGAAACTGAGGAGAGGGCCAAACGTAAGGCAGAGTGGCTGCCTCAGGTTGGAGTTGCTTCCAACTCGCACCAGCAAGAGGCGCTTCATCCGGTCCCTTACGCCACCTCCCGCCCCCTACGCCCACCAGCCTCGCCCGGAAGCTCACTCACTGAACTGGACCATGGTGCAGCCGGCGTGCGCCGGGACCTGGGGAGCCAGCTGCCGCTCCTCGCAGCGTCCCGCTGTCTGCACAGATCAGCGCTACGGCCTCGGGAGGGGCGGACGACGAACACGGAGCAGTCCCCGCTGCCGAACCGGGGCGCGACCTCTCCGCGACCCAAGCCTCAGCGCTCCGGTGGCGGAAGCGGAGTCCACTCGCCCCGCCTCTTCCGCTTTCTGCCCTACACTTCCCATAAGGCAATGCTGCGAACCCTAACATCCCTTAAACTCCTGCAAAAAAAGGCGCGCGGCGATTTGCGTGTAGCAGGGGTGGTAGTGCAGGCCGAGCTGCGTGAGCGCTCTCGGTCTTCATTGGACCGTGGGTTCCTGCTGGAGTGAAGAATATTGGGAGAATCCGGGGGAGCGGACAAGAGACTTGCTAAAGTGCTCTCAAATCTATCTTTCCAGGGAACGTTTTTTGGGCGTCTGTTTAGAACGCTTAGCTGCAAGTGCGCTGTTCCTGCCCCTAGGAAGCTCACAGTTACGTGGGGGAGACGCTGAGACTACACCAGAGTTGATAAAGATGGTCAGTATACAGTTCTGGAGGAGCAGAGAAGGCGTGCCTGATACTTCCTTGGTGCCTCAGGAAGTAGCGTTAGAGCCGAGACTATAGAAGAACAGTAAATGATGTGAAGTTTATTTTATCCTTCTGTGTTTATTAATATGTCTTTCACCTTCCCTCCTATTCCTCCATCTTCCTCCTTTGCACCTTCTTTTAAAAAATTAAGGATAAGGAGTCTTTATTTCTGGTTTTGCTATGCAATGATCTAGAATAAAAGAAGTGAAGTATTGGTCCTTTATCGTCTCTATTCCTAGAATAATGGCCTTAGTTGTGAGTTTTCCATCTATTATAGAGTAATGGACTCTTCTTGGAGCCCTTGTGATTTAGTTCCATGAAGATACCCGTAATTAGAGGTAGTGAGTACCCCCACCATCAGCAAAAACCTCTGTGTTCAGCTCTGTTTACCATTGAATCAACCCAGAGGGTCTGGTTAATGTGTTTGTCCTAATACAAACCTGGCCAGAGACCTTAGCAGTTGACTTCCTAAAGGAGTGATCTAATAAGTTTTTACCAGAAAACTTAATAATGAACCCACTATGCCTTAATTATAGAAATAATTACATTCTTACATATACCTCAGTATACCTTAATTAACTCCAGAACCACACTGATGATTTTTTAATCTCTTCCATTTTTTATTGTCATCTACTTTACTGTCACTTGTAAAACATCCAGTAAGGGCCATCCAGTAAGATAGCCCATGGAAATAAATGAATGAGTTTCTGTTCATGGTGTTGTCCATTCCCAGGCCTCATGTGATGAAATAATCAGGGTTTAATTTCTCTGAGAAGGAAAGAAGGAAGAAGTCTCATACAGAATATTCTTCAGCTGGAAGGCTGTCAGAAAGATGGATTTCCAAAGCCAACTGTCTCCTGTACCATGTGGATCTCTGCAAGCAGAGTCTCATCTTTCAATTTCAGCTGCATAAGAAGAAGGAAGGGGAGGATACATGTCATGCCTGATATACCTTTGGGGAGACCCCTCATTTACAGGACCACAGTTAAAGAATATAGTTCCTAGGCATGAAATTGGCTCTTCCTATATTCCCTATTACATGGTAACTCCATTAAAAGACCTCAGAACATTGTGCTGGTTACATGGACACATTTACTTTATGAAAATTCAATTAGTATAAACATTTGCAACTTGTGTATTTCTTTTTTATAAAGTAACTTTAATAAAGTTTACTTTTAAAAGAGTTCACATGATCACCCAATCTGTCTTGACTATAATATTGCAATTTGGCAAGTGACAGGAATCAAAGATACTAGATTTAATTTTAGAGTCTAGATGTGCAGCAGAGATGTCTAGTTGCTATTAAATACCTACTCTCTTACTAACAAAATCTTCATTTCTTTTCAGGGCAGGAATGCAGCTAGTTAAAAATCTCCATTTCCTTCTTCCCTTAGAGCTAGGGGTAGTCTTATGACCAATTGTGGCTAAAGTCATTGCTGCTTTTTTTACCCCCCAAAATACTCTTCTCTAGAAATGACTTTCTTTACCATCAAATTCTATGTATCTGTGAAACATCTTTATTTTTTTTTATCTGAGTGTAGTTGACACACAATGTTACACTAGTTTCAGATGTAGAACAAAGTGATTCTACAAGTCTATACATTACACTGTGCTCATAAGTATAGCAACCATCTGTCACCACACAACACTATTACAATATCATTGACCATATTCCCTATGCTATATCTTTTATCCCCGTAAAGTCATTGCTTTATAAGGGAGGTGAAATAGCTAACATGTCCTCTTCATTCTTTGCTTCCTTTTGTTCTTTATTGTGCCTGAAATATGTATGTGGTGGCTGTCTTGCAACAAAGAGGATGGGAAGTGCGTGCTATGACTGGAGCAGAGCGATATAGTTTGGGTCTTTGATGACATTGTGGAGCTGTGATAACCAACCCTGGACTTTTCATGAGATGAGAAAAATAAAACAAATTTGTTTAGGCCACTATCTTTCAAGTCACATTATCTGTGGTTCATAATTAATAGAATACAATGAGGGTTGGCAGATATTGCTCATGAGCCAAATCCAGCTTGCTGCCTGTTTTTGTAAGTAAAACTTTTATCTGAAACACAACCATGTTCATTTGTTTATGTATTGTCTGTCTATGTCTCCTTTTGCACTGCAAGAAAAGAGTGTAGTAGATGTGATAGAGACAGTTTGGCCCACAAAGCCTAAAGTATTATTTTGCCCTTCACAGAAAGCATGCTGATCTGTGGACTAGACCAACACCTTCAGTCTACACATGAGGAAAATGAGGCCCAGAGAAGTTAACACAAGAAAGTTAGTGGCAAAACTAGGACCATAATTCAGATCTCCTGACTTCCAAGCCATCTGTCTTTCCTTTAAACCAAATTCTATAGAGGTGGGAAAAAGGTCCCCCATAGTAATGTATGGGTTATTCCACACCCAGCAGCAAATGGCAAAGATGGTAAGAAAAGCCTCTAGAAAAATATTCACATCATGAAATGTTGTAAAGTCCTGAGTTAAGGCAGCATCTTCCTCCCAGTTTCCCAACCTCAGTACAGTACAGACAAACAGCAGAGGCACCTGCATCATACCTTCATCGTGTACTTGTAGGCCTGCTCAGCTTCCAGTTCCCGTCCAGCCTGAAAAAAAAGAGCAGCAGCAGGTGATGATGACATATCATAAACATTATGGTGAGAATGTACCTTGTCACAGACATTTCTATCAAAACAGAGGATTACATACCCTCTGAATTCAAAGGGAAAACAGGAAAATGAAAGGTGATAGCAAAACGCAGATATTCTTATACATATAATGTCTATATGTATGATATATATATACACACACACATATATATACACATACATATGACTATCCCTTCTTCATTTTAAAAAGCTTAAAGATAATTTGGCCTCTCATTTTTCCCCCCTGAAATATCATGAGTCATTTGTTCCTCTCAGGATTGAAGCCATTCTGTTAACAATAGCTAAAACTTATATAATGGTTACTTTGTGATTTACACTGTTTTAATTGTCTATATTGTTTTAACTGCTTTACATGCTTTCATTCCTAGCCCTCAAAGTAATTCTAGGAGAAAACTGCTTTTATTCATGATTCCATGCTCGCAGATAGAAATACCTAGGCATAGAGAGGATAAATAACTTTTCAGGGTTATGAAGCTAGTAAGTGGAGGAGCCAGGTTTTAAAACAATGCAGTCTGGCTCCAGAGACCAAGTTTTTACATATTGCACTTTTCCTGTCTCTATGACAGGTAAAAAGCATACATTGGAATTGTTTCCATGCAGATCTGGATATGAGATGGGGACACCTAACTATTCCACCCAGTTATTCTTTGCATGAAGCACATCTAGGAGTTAAATGCGAATAATATGAATTCACTATGATACTTAACAAGTTTGTGCATAACAAATTAGAGTATACAATGTCACTTGGGAAATACATAAACATGAAATATATGCATAATAACCTAATATTAAATAAATAAGAAAACTACAGAATGTTCAGGCTAGAAGGAAACTTAGAAAATATCTGGTCCAAATTCCTAATCAGTGCCAGGTCATGGTAAATGTTTACTAATTCACAAAACTTTCATTACTTAAAAGATTTTCCTAGGGGTGCCTGGGTGGCTTGGTCGGTTGAGCTTCCAACTTTGGCCCAGGTCATGATCTCATGGTTCATGGGTTCAAGCCCCACATTGGGCTCTGTGCTGACAGCTCAGAGCCTTGCGTCTGCTTCATATTCAGTGTCCCACTCTCTCTCTGCCCCTCCCCTGCTCATTCTCTGTCTCTCAAAAATAAATATTTTTCAAAAAAAATGTTTTAAAAAATTATTAAAAAAATAAAAATAAAAGCTTTCCCATAATATGTATACTTCAAAGATTTCCTCACCTGAAGTTCATTGAATTCCAGAGGCATTTTCTAGCACATCTTCCTTTCCTGTCACTATTACCTTTGTTTCATCTTTGCTGAGGTCCAAATGATGTGAGGATCCAGAACAGCCAAAACAATTTTGAAAAGAGTAACAATTTTTTTCTACTATGTAAAATACTGCAATAAACATCCTTGTACATGTCTTCTGGTATTTTTCTTAGGAATGTATCTAGATATAAAATTGCTAAGTTGTGGATAAGAACGTGGGTAAATAATGCCATATTGCTCTTCAAAGTAGTCATATCAAATTTATATCCACTAGTGATTCTGGGAATCCTTATCAGTGTTGATAATATCAGACTAATTTTTGCCAGTCTGATGGGTGTGAATTTCTGTCACATTGTCCTTTTAAATTGCATTTTTATGATTACAAGTGAGGCAAACTTATCATGCATTTATTGGCTTTTACAATTTCCACTTCAGCATACTGTATATTCCTATCCTCTGACCATTTTTCAATCAGATTATTTGTAGGTTTTTCTTTCTTATTGTAGGACATATTTATATAATAGCTATATTATATAATTATATAAACTGTAATAATAAGTTCTAAAATCTGCAAGTATTAAAGTCCTTAAGCTTTATTATTGTCCATAAGCTTTAATAAAGTCCATAAGCTTTATTATGTCTTTTGTTATTCATGAGTTTCCAATTTTAAAATTGTTAATTTAGGGATGCCTGGGGAGCTCAGTCATTTAAGTGACTGACTCTTGGTTTCAGCTCAGGACATGATCTCCCAGTTTCATGAGTTCATGCACCACGTCAGGTTCTGCACTGGAGTGCAAAGCCTGCTTGGAATTCTTTCTCTCCCTCTCTCTCTGCCCCTCTCCTACTTGCACTGTCGCTGTCTCTCTCACAATAAATAAACTTAAAAAAAAGTTGATAATTTATTGGTATTTTATTTTTTGGCTGGTGCATTTACAGTCATAAGAAAACTTGCACACCCTGAGGCTCTAGAGGTATTCTCTGTATTTTCTCCTAAGCAATCTAAAGTTTTAAGATTTAGGCCTTTAAACCAGCTGGAAATATGTGTGCGCCCAAATGTGTGTTTGGTGTGAGGTAAGGAAATAATTTTCTTCATATGGATAGCCAGTTGCTCCACCTGTATTTATTGAATAGTCCATTTGTTCCTGGTTTTGGAGGGCTATACACTCTTTAAAATTGGCTTTATTGAGGTATAATTTACATACCATAAAATTCACTAATTTTAAGCTTCAATTGTTGCAACTATTACCACCACAATCCAGTGTTAGATGATTTCTATCACTCCCAAAAGCCTCCTTCATTCCTGTTTGCAGTCAATCCCAATTCCCATCCTTGGCCCTAGGGAACTAGTGATCTATTTTTCTAGCAATATTTTTCCTAAGTTTATATAAATTGAATAAAATAATATATAATCTTTTGGGGGCGCCTGGGTGGCTTAGTCGGTTAAGCGTCCGACTTTCACTTAGGTCATAATCTAGCGGTTCGTGGGTTCGAGCCCCGCGTCAGGCTCTGTGCTGACTGCCAGCTCAGAGCCTGGAGCCTGTTTCAGTCTGTGACTCCCTCTCTCTCTGACCCTCCCCTGCTCACGCTGTCTCTCTCTCTCTCTCTCTCTCTCCTAGAAATAAATAAAACATTTAAAAAATATATATATAATCTTTTGTGCCTTGCTTCTTTCATTTGAGATAATGTTTTTGAGGCTCATCTATATTATTACATAAACCAGAATTTCATTTTTTTTTTTAGTAGACTCCATGCCCAACACAGGGCTTGAACTCATGACCTCATGATCAAGAATCACATGCTCTATCATCTGAGCCAGACAGGGGCCCCCAGAATTTCACTTTTATTGCTGAGTAGTACTCCACTGTGTACATATACAGCATTTTATCAATTCACATATAGACATTTGGAATGTTTCCAGTCTTTGGCTATTATTAAATGCAGCAATGAAATAGAGAAATCTTTGTGTGGACATATGTTTTCACTTTTTTTGACTAGATATGGAGAAGTGTGACCACTGGGATATATACTAAGTGTATGTTTAACTTTTTATGAATCTGCCAAACTGTTTTCTAAAGTGGCTTTACTAATTTGCAACCCCACCAACAATGTATGAGGGTCCCAGTTTCTCCATATCCTCAAAATTTGATTTTGTCAGTCTTTTTCATTTAA